CGTGGGGGACGCTCGTGCAAAGCGCGGGCGGGCGGCGGAAACGAGTGCGTGCAAATGAATATCCGTGCAAATGAATATCCGTGCAAATGAATATCCGTGCCGGCGTGTGGTGGGGTGGAAAGGAAGTCTGCGTGTCCTTAAAACCGGCTTTCCTTGGAGGAATGCGCATCGACGGTTACAACAGACGGATCATTTAGTCGGCCAGTGCAATACAACGCTCCAGCCACGCTGTCAGTGTTGCTTGTTATGAGGCTTGCCTCATTCCTCTGCCCCCATCGGTGCCGTCGGCCTGCGCTTGCACCCAGCTGCTTGTGAGCGCTTAATGGCACAAGCTCCTCGCGTCAGGCTCCTCGCGCGGCCCAGTCAGCCCTGCTGGGCAGCTGCCCCTTCTCGGGCTCGCTCCTGGGTGACTCACCGCTCCGTCGTTGTTCTGTGGGTGGCTCTGGCGCTTGGTTTATGGCGAGGTCAAGTTGCAAGGGTCTTCAAAACCCACCTGGATGCGACTGGGTGCTCTGTGCTCTGGGTGTCCCTGCTGGAGCAGGGGAGTTGGACTAGATGATCTCTAGGGATCCCTTCCACCCTCAACCATTCTGTGATGCTGCGATGTAGAATCCTGTGTGTGTTTGGGTACAAGGAGGGCCAGTGTCCAGGTTGTTCCCCATACTGGAACGTGGAGGGATGGATGGATGTGCTCGATGCTCCAAGCTGCTTGGAAGGGCAGTTACCTCCATGCCGTTTGTACTTAGGCTAAATGCTGGGTCTAACTGCCCCTTCTGGCATGTTCCCAGCATTTCCTGCTATACCCCTTTGGTATAACTAGCAAGTAGAATAAGAGGTCTGAAGTGCCAGATTTTTAGTTTTTATTTTTAATGCTCTAGAGTTTCCTCTAGAGCATTAGAGTTAAGAGTGTGTGTGTTAAGAGCTTGCATGTAGGGCTAGTGGTTGACCATGGCGTTTGATACTAATAACTTCAATATTTTAGGCATTTAAAGATACCGGCAAAGCACCTGTGGAACAAGAAGTTGCAATTCATCGAATCAGGATTACTTTGACAAGTCGTAATGTAAAATCGCTTGAAAAGGGTGGGTGCTATTTTTTTTTTTTTTTATGGGGATAGGCTTTTAAGGTAATGAGTGATGCCAAATATAATGTGTTGAGATCAGTACTGACTGGCATTTACCTGTTTGCATTGCAGTCAGCTAGCAAAGCCACTCTAAAGGGTGTCATATGCTGATCAGTAAGTTCTAATTTTATTTTGAATAGAAACTGGCATTTGAGGTCTTCCATTGTGCTGGAAACTTCCTGTCATGGTTGCTAACTGTAGATAATGTACCCTGTGCCCTTTAGTTCTTGCAGGGGGTTTAAATGTTACTGTTTTGAAGTACGAAATCAGAAAGATACGATTTCTGGACTTGAACAAGTTGGTGTGACGTGTTCAGTTTATTACTTTAGCATTCTTTAAGCTCTTATTTAAACTTGCTTTGAAACTAGCTATGCCAGTGTTTTAATCATATATTGTAGATGTTACAGAATCATTGTTTGATGCAGGATCTTCCATCTGATCCAGTTCAAATATAACTTAACCTTGTAGTAGTGACTTTTGCCTGTACTAATGACTGTTGTAACATGGTTTTGTAAACCATGGGGTGACACTTTCACTGATTAATAGTTGGCTATGAGGATGATAGTCTGACGTGAGTTACGGTGATCATTTTATACGCTATTCTGAGCCAACACCTCATCTGAAATCTTCTTTGCTTAAAACAACAACAACAAAAACCCATTAATGATCCTGAATCTCTGTTTTACAATTTTTAGTCTGTGCTGACTTGATCAGAGGCGCTAAGGAAAAAAACCTCAAGGTGAAAGGACCTGTTCGCATGCCCACCAAGGTACTTAAGCTCTCAAGGAAATGGGAAAAGCATGTTGTTTTTCTGTATATGAGCACTTGGAATGTATTTAAAAAAGAAAAAAAAAGGAAAATAGTTCTACTAAACTGAGGAGGGTGATGTATTTCATCTAGATTATGAACTAACAAATTTGACATGACTTAACACATTTGAGAAGAGTGATTAAGTGATGGCAACAAATATTGAAAACAGAAGTTTTTTGTCTTTATTTTTTTTAATATGATTAAATTGAGTGTAGAGAATAGGCATTAAGAATCAACACCAGCGGAATATCTCTTTAACAAGTAACTCCCCAGTGATATTATAGATAGCGTGTAGTATTTTTAATTGGACTTATCTAGACAGTCCTCTGTGTACATCAGCTTAATATTGTGTGTTTATGATTTTGTTTCAGACTCTGCGAATTACTACCAGGAAGACACCTTGTGGTGAGGGCTCTAAGACCTGGGATCGTTTCCAAATGCGCATCCATAAGCGACTCATTGACTTGCACAGCCCCTCTGAGATTGTCAAGCAGATCACTTCCATCAGCATTGAACCAGGTGTAGAAGTTGAAGTCACTATTGCCGATGCCTAAGTGATGGTCATCCACTTTTAATAAAGTTGATTTGCAAGTTTTTTTCACTGTGTATTTTATATTTGTGCCTGTGATGACTTTCATGAAGTCCAACTGAGATCATAATGAAAATGCATGGGAGGACTGTGTCTCAAAGAAGAATACTTCAATTCTGAACACGAAGAAGATGAAACCTGGGCATCATAGTTTCATTAGAGATTGGTGATCACACAGACATGAATACATAAACAAAGGCAACACTTAAATGATTAAAAATAATTTTTCCTTATAGAGTTGGACTTTGGTTAAAACTTTAGTCTGTACCCAGACAAACAATAGCATTAAAACTGATGTCTAGATAACCTACAAGGTTTTGAATCCCTGTTTTTGCCATGCAAGGCTGAACTAACATCTAACTTTGAAGGTGCTTTTTTGTTTTGTTTAGTTTTGTTTTTGTTTTTTAGCCTATCACAGTGGAGAGATCCTCAGGATGTTAGTTATAAAGCTACGTGTGCAGTGAGCATGTTGAATTTGGCAATTTTCTTAAAAGACTTGTATAGAAAATCATAATTTAAGGTGTGGAGCTCTAGTTCTCTTACTAGGTTTAGATTTCTGCAGATGGTACTATTAAAGATGAAAGGTGAGCTAATTTCTTATGTCAAGTAACAAAACAGCTATTTTCTTCGAGACTACATAGGGAACTTAGGGGGAGTGTTGTGTTTTTTTGCTTCTTTTATTGTTGTTCCTTGAGGGAACTTACAAGAGGCGAAGCCCTGAAGTAAGCGGAAGATCACAGCTTCATTTCACGCATGAAGATGAGGTTGCCATCCTAGCTTCTGCTCCAAGCACAGGGGAGACCTTGAATTCTAAATGAGTAAGAAACACTAGGAAACCTGGGTTTGTGTGAATATTGAAATTCCAACCACATTCTCCAAGACCTTAAACGGTTGCCAAAGCTTGAGCTTCCTTCCTTCCTCATGGGTATTCAAGAATCTCATCTGTCCACCCATCTTCCTCCTGTTTAATTTAGGTCTTGGAAGGATTCTGCCCTGGCCAGCAGGTTGGGAAACTTTGGTGGGAGGGAGGGAAGAGTCGGGCTCCTATGCACTGAGATTGCAGTTTTCTTGGGAAATGGCTTAAAAAGATTTCCTCC